GTGGGTGTCTGTAATCCCAGCTACTTGGGAGGCTGAGGCAGGAGAATCGCTTGAACCCGGGAGGCGGAGGTTGCAGTGAGCCAAAATCGCACCACTGCACTCCAGCCTGGGTGACAGAGTGAGACTCTGTCTCAGAAAAAAAAAAAGATAGTCATAATGTTTGGATTCAGTAATTCCACTGTAAAGTAACTGAGGAGCATAAAAAGAAATATAAAAATCTTTGGTTTTGTCTCTGGATGGATGAGTAATGAGTAACTTTTATTTTTTACCTTTGTATGTTTTATAAATTCTCTATAATGACCTGCATTGCAGTTGTATTGAAGGAAAATATTATTTTTAAATGAGATAATAAAAATATTTTAAAGTAATTTAGACCACAAATGACAAAGGCCATTCTTATAAATGTAAGAGCAAAATTATTGTGTTTTTAGCATTTACTGAATGTTTTTAAATGTTGCTGATTTTAGAAGCAACACAAGCTTGAATGAAAAAGCAAATTCCAGGAGACTGTAAACAGAACAATACCATTTTGTGAGACCCAATAGCAAGCAGAACTAAACAATATGTCATCTGGTGATATGTATAAAGTGATGGAAGATTTTGTTGTTGTTATTGTATACAAAACATGATGAACACAAAACTTTTTATTGTGATTATTTTATATATTTGATGTCAACTGTAAGACCAGCAACTGTAAAATACATCTATTTTATCTTCCTAGTACTTTGCACAGTGTGAATAATACTTATTTTAAAAATGAATTTACTGACAGTAATAACATTTATTAGTAATTATTATTATATGTATAAATTGCCTATACTTTTTAGCCTAGTCTCTCTTACAGCTCTTTATATGTATTTATGAAACTGCTATAGAACATGAACAAATGTTACACTTGCCTTCTGAGTTCTCTGCCAGCGGTCCTATGCCCAGCAGTGTCCTATGCCCAGCAGTGTCCTATGCCGTGGTCCTTCTAGGTTCTGGCAGCGTGAGGACAGGACACATGGAGAAAGACCCTTTAAACCTCCTTCCAAGGAAGTCAGTTCTCCCTGGTCCAGAGATTGCAAAGTGTAATTATTTTTCAGGAGAAAATTACTATTTGTAAGCATCATTCCTACCTGTATCCCAAAAGACTGAGTTCATTGATTTATTAAGCTTTTAACAAATAGACTGTGCCTATATTCTTTCCTAAATCTATATTTTACAATTTAGGTCTGCGTTTCTTGGTTCGTCTCTGCACAGATCTTGGATTAAAAGATGCTCAAGAATATGCCAGAAAACTGAAGAGGTTGGAAAAAATGAAAGAAATAAGGGAACAGGTATCTCATATGGGCCCAAAACTGCTATCTGTTAATTTTTAGAATGTCAGCCTTCTATAGCTCAAATGTGTGATGTTAGGAACTTCTATAAGAAAACAGAGTTGAAATTTTTTTTCTGCTCTAACATAATAGGAGGAATAATTAAAACTCTAGTTTGAGGATAAAATTCTGGCAAAAGTGGATTCCCAGGGAGAGAAAGTGCACTAGATTTCATATTATCTTAGTGGATAGCTACTAACAGACAAATAATTTTCCACAACATGAAATAACTTACAGTTTAATTTGAAGACATAATTTTAATTGGAAAGTCCTGTGGACCATGAGAGACAATTACTTCTCTGCAACAATGGAATCTGTGAGTGTGTGCTCTAACAAGTTTTCTAGGTGATTTTTATTGTCACCAAAGTTTGAGAAGCACTCAGGCTTTATGCTCCTGAAGGGTTACCTTGATCAAACACCAACTCAGGATATAGAAGCTGATTTAAGAGGTGAAAAAGTAGACATAAAATATATCAGGTGATGGATTTTTTAAAATTGTTTTAAAATGGAAAAAGATTTGTATAAACTTAAGAGAGGAAGATAAACCAATTCAGGTTTATGTGGGTCAGGGTAATTTCTCTTGTTGAGTCCCTAACTCCTGTTTTAAAATGTTAAAACTAGAAGTTTTATCTAAAATGGTTTTTCAGAGAAATTAGTCCTCTTTCTGGAACTATTATGGAAAAGAAGACTGTTCTCTTTTTTGTGCTTGGGGGATCCACATTTTTGGGTAAGAAGAAAACTTTATACATTGTACATAGTACATTCATTAGTGCCAGCAAGAAGCGATTGTGGCACTGGGTTGTTGGCCAGGCAAGACAGACTCACTCTTAGCCCTCCATTCCTGAACACTGCGAGCCCCACAGTGGTGTGGACCAGCCCCTGGAAACTGTAAACCATGTAGCAGAGCTGTTTTTTAAAATATGTTTTGCTTTTCTGCTTCACTGAACATGAAAAACATTAGCAGACAAAGAGGTCTGTCAAAGCAAGAGTGTATGTTTGGAATCGAGCAAAATGGAAAGAGCAAGCCTTGAGGAATGAATATTTTAAATATGAAAAAGGGAGAGAAAAACAGCCAAAACATCAAAGAAGGTTGGAGAATAAAGGTAAACTATTAAGAAAGAAAAGAAAAGAAAGAAAGAATAGAGGCCAGGTGCAGTGGCTCATGCCTATAATCCCAACACTTTGGGAGGCCGAGGCGGGCGAATCACGATGTCAGGAGATCGAGACCATCCTGGCTAACCATGAAACCCTGTCTCTACTAAAAGTACAAAAAATTAGCCGGGCGCGGTGGCGGGTGCCTGTAGTCCCAGCTACTCAGGAGACTGAGGCAGGAGAATGGTGTGAACCTGGGAGGCGGAGCTTGCAGTGAGCTGAGATCATGTCACTGCACTCCAGCCTGGGCGACGGAGTAAGACTCTGTCTCAAAAATAAAAAAGAGACAAAATACAGAATATTTTCTTTGCTAGTCTGAAGATAAAAATATATTCAATTTTTAAACTAAATTTCTGAATTTTCAGAATATTCAAATAGAGAAATGCTGTTTCAATATTTGCCAGTTTTCCCCCGAAGTAATCAGGAAACAATACCAAGAAATGCTTTCTTTTGGCCAGATTGACAAAATAGCATGAGACATTCAGAATTAACATATCATTGGTACCTATACCCAAATTTCCAGTTATTACCAAAATACAATGAAAATAAACACACAGTTGAGTTAAGCAGAAACCCTTTTGGTTATATTTCTTAAAAGGAGAAAGATCCAGTATTAAGATCCCATATTTAGCTTTAAAAGTAACCAAACTAAAAAATGCAATTAAAAAAAAAGTTTGTATGTGTAATAATGGCTATAAGAATGTCTTGTACAATTTAT